GTCAGCCCAGCAGTCTAGTCAATCCTAACCTATATTAGTTAACCACAGACTTGTGAGATGAATAGATTCTAATTATTTTAAGCTACTGAATTTGAATAGTTTGCTAAGCAGTAGATTTGTGGCAGTAGATAAGTGTTGTGTCATTAAAATAGCATTCATTTTATTCCAGCAGAATTAGCCTCCTTGGCATTCCTTAAATACACAAGGTAAACTCTATATTGGGCTCCCTGCGGACACTATATCCTCTGGCTGGAATCACTTTACCTAGACAGCCCCCTGGTATATTCACTTTCTTCCTTCATATTTTTGCCCAAATGTCACCAATAATCCATTTAGAACTTGAAAATAAAAATTCATCTGTTGCGGACGAAATGACACAAAGGACAAGACACACACAAAAGACAGAGACACAACTCCGGCCGGAGGAACAATTCTACGCAAGCCCCTCTTGCGGTTTATTTTATACCCTGGTAACTGGATACAAACTGAAACCTACAAGATGCATTCCTTTACCAATTACGGGCAAGTAGCCAAACACATTTCAAGGACAGGGGGGAGCAAAGGGAGGAAGCGACCACAACATATTTACTAAGAGGCCTGCCCACAACTCCAGCCTTCTCCTTACTTCTAAGGAGGGCATGTTCCCTCATTTGCGAGCGGACCATTTAAATAAGATAGTGTGTGCAGGCCTCCTGGCAGAGCATCCTGTTTGCAGGCATGCTTTGCCTAGGCAGGGAGCCCCGTGTGCAGGCACATCCCCGCGTCCCTAACCACACTTTCTTGTGGTCACTGTTGGGCTCCCACATTCATCCCTGATTCCCTTCTCTCAATTTTTCTCCTTAGCTTTATTATCACGTTGTATAGGATTTTATATGTAATTTTGCTTTTAAAAATTTTCTGTAATCCTGCCACTAGAAAGGAAAGAGATTTCTGTCTATTTTGTTCCTAGGAGTTATCCCAGTAGCAAATACAATGTCTGACATAGTATGTGTTCAATACATATTGCTTGAATGGATAAGTGGTTCGGTTCTTTGTTTAGGCGCACCTGGGTGGCTTAGTCGGTTAAGTGTCAGACTTCGTCTGAGGTCATGATCTCATGGTTTGTGGGTTCAATCCCCGCATCGGGCTTTGCGCTGACAGCTAGCTCAGAACCTGGAGCCTCTTTCAGATTCTGTGTTTCCTTCTCTCTCTGACCTTCCCCTGCTCATGCTATCTCTCTTGTCTCTCTCTCTCTCAGAAATAAATAAAACATTTAAAAAAAGTTCTTTGTTTAAAGAAAAAAGGTTGTATGCTTGACTAGAGAGTGAGGTGGAGGAAACATCACCTTAGCTCCTTCTGTCTCCTTTCCCTCCGTTTAATACCTAGAAGCTAGGTGGAGTGGAAGTTACCCAAAGAGGATTTTAGGAATACGATCACATATACTCTCGCTAGAAGGGTCTCTTAATTTGGCAAGGTCTATGAGAGTCTAGATGAATCATCCTGATGCCATGCAAGGGCAGTAGTTCATTGACCTCTATGCTGGCAGCTAGAGGTTAATGTAAACCAGTAAATCTTTCAATGTAATTTTCTCTTTGAATCTATTATGTCGGTTTCATTACTTTTGCTCTTTCCATTTCTAATTTCCACTTAAAAAATCCACGTGACCTATTTAAATACTTGAATCATTTTGAGGCAGAGATTTTTTATTGAGGATCAGGTTATAGTTCTCACGGGTCACTTGCCAGCCCATGAGTTGATTGCCTTTGAGAGCTCTGCCCTGGAAGTTGAATGTCAGCCTCACATGTTAGAAAATATGGCCATCCTCGAAGACCATATAGCACTTTTGTGATTGTAGGCTGCTACATTCGGTGAGACCGAAGACGTGGCAAGCTAGTAGAGTGCAAGCCTGGTACTCAGCAGTGGACAGCTCACGGTTCCTTCAACTGTTTTCAATTTTAGCAATTGTAGTTCCAGAACCAGCCTTCCTATATCTTTGTCTTGAAAAGGAAAAATAACAGAGAAGAGAAACATGGAATCAAAATCTATTTGTGACATGCTGCTATTATAGAACTCTGGAAAATTCTTCAGTCTCCTCAGGGAAAGGAATTTTCTCATACTCCCATCAGTGAATTAGTAATGATGTAAAGAGAGTTTTATCTGCATTGACTAGAGCAGTATTCTCCTGACTACTAGATTATTCTTGTGAACATTCAAATATGCTATTTCACTCCTGTCTTAAGTCTTCTCTTGCCTCAAGATTCCCCTCTAGCTGACGCTCTACTTCTCAGATGGCTTTTTACAAAATCTCTGAAGAATATACAGATTTACTGTCTGAAGTTTCTCTCCTCCCATTCTTCTTCGAATCCACTACAGGTTTTTTGGAATGACTATCTCTTGGAAATTTCTGATCAAGATCACCAATGGCCTCTAAATGTCTAAAATTAACCATCACTTCCTAGTTCTTGACTTCTCAGGGGCTATAGGCACATCATCCTTTTTAAAATATGTTCTTTATTTGACTTTCAAGACGCTGCTGTCCTGATTGCCTTCCTACCTCCGTGGCTGCTGCTTCTCAATATTCTTTGTTTCTCCTCTTCTCACGCACCTTTTTCTATAAGGGAACGTCTCAGGGTTTGGTCCTTGGCCTCTTCTTTATAAACACTCATTCCTTGGTGATTTCATCTATTCTCATGGCTTAAGTAATGTCTCTATGGCCTCACTCACAAATGTGTATCTGTAGTCTAACCACCCATTGAACTCCAGGCTGGTATATCCAGCTGATTCCTCAGCATTACACTTGAGGGTTTTAGACCAGGCATCTAAAAGCTAGCATGTCTATACAAATGGCTAACAGACACGTGAAAAAAGGCTCAACATCACTCATCATCATGGAAATACGAATCAAAACTACAATGAGATACCACCTCAGACCTGTCAGAATGGCTAAAATTAACAACTCAGGAAACAACTGATGTTGGCGAGGATGTGGAGAAACGGGAACCCTCACGCACTGTTGGTGGGAATGCAAACTGGTGCGGCCACTCTGGAAAACACTGTGGAGGTTCCTGAAAAAAAACAAAAATAGAACTAGCCTATGACCCAGCAACTGCACTACTAGGTACTCATCCAAAGAATATAGGAGTGTTGGGGCGCCTGGGTGGCTTAGTCGGTTAAGCGTCCGACTTTCGCTTAGGTCATGATCTCGCGGTTCGTGGGTTCGAGCCCCGCGTCGGGCTCTGTGCTGCCTGCCAGCTCAGAGCCTGGAGCCTGTTTCAGCCTGTGACTCTCTCTCTCTCTGACCCTCCCCTGCTCACGCTGTCTCTCTCTCTCTATTTCCTAGAAATAAATTAAACATTAAAAAAAAAAGAATGAAAGAATACAGGAGTGTTGTTTCAAAGGGGCACTTGCACCTCAGTGTTTATAGCAGCACTATCCACAATAGCCAAATTATGGGAAGAGCCCAGATGTCTACCGGCTGATGAATGGACAAAAGTGTGGTATATATATATATATACAGTGGAATATCACTCAGCCATCAAAAAGAATGAAATCTTGCCATTTGCAGTGATGTGGATGGAAATAGAGTGTATTATGCTAAGTGAAATAAGTCAGTCAAGGAAAGACAAATATATGATTCCACTCATATGTGGAATTTGAGAAACACACAGATGAACATAGGAGAAGGGAAGGGTAAATAAAAACACAGAGGAGAAACAAACCATAAGAGACTTTTAAATACAGATAACAACCTGAGGGCTGCTGGAGGGGGAGGCTGGTGGGGGGATGGGCTAAATGGGCAAGGGGCGTTAAGGAGGGCGCTAGTTGGGATGAGCACTGGGTGTCACATGTAAGGGAGGAATCACTAAATTCTCCTGAAACCAATAAAAACAATAACATGATGTCTAAGGCAGAACTCCCCAATTTTTCCCCATTAATGCTGCTCCGTCCCTACGCTCACATTTCAGTTAAGGGCATGTCCGGTCCTTCCAGTTCGTCTCCCGAAAACCTTCAGAGTCATCACTGATTTTGCTTTCTCTCACTCGTCACATCAGTGTTCTCCGGGATTTCTCTCACTCTGTCCTTAAAGTCTGGACGTAACCCTAACCCTAACTACTTTTCAGCAGCTACACGGCCACCATCCTGTCCAAGCCGGGGTTAGCTCTGATAAGCAGCCTGATGAAAGGGACCCCCGCAAGCGCCTCACTTCTGTTCTGCATACCAAATACACTGCACAGATCTGGCAGAGAAGGCCTGTGAAAAAACTTAAGTCGTGTCGAGTCACTTCAATGCTTAAAATCCACTGTCTTCCTTTTTTTACCAGTGAAGGCCAAAGTCCTTAAACGATGGGCTAACGAGGCTGCACTTGACCTTCCCCTCCTTGCTGCCCGTTCCTCCGTCTCCTGGGACTCGTCTCCGCTGGGCCCCTGCTGCAGTCCTAGGTGGCTTCTCCGACCCCCCTTGCCTAGACCAGCCACACTCCTCTCCCAGCCAGGCCTGTTGCGCCTGGCTTCTGCCCAAGCGGATGCAGCCCGCCCGCCCCGGCCAGCCCCGCGGGCCCGCAGAACCTTCTCCCACCCCAGCGTGAGTTTGCACCAGGCTCAGCGGTTGAACAAGGAGAGGAAGCAGGTCCCAGCTCCGGGCTTGTTATAGAATATAATTCTTGTAATTGAAGGTTTGGGGCTGCAAGGAGCACAAAGATTTGAGACTTGGTAGAAATGTAAGCAAATTTAGGTAGATGATTTCTGGAACAGAACTTAGAATTTATGGGGGGAGGAGGAAAAGTTCGACCCTTGTTTCCGCCCGGTTTCGAACCGGGGGCCTTTCGCGTGTTAGGCGAACGTGATAACCACTACACTACGGAAACTTGCCGGTGGCGGGCTTTGACTTTCCCGAATTAGTTGCCTTGAACTTTAAACTGCGCCTTCCCTGGAGGCTGCATTCTCGGCGGAGGCACTATTTCCGCTCCACACTGGCCGATTCTTACACCTGAACCGGGTAACTCACGGCCCGGCCGACGTTACCGCCAGGCCCCAGCTGCTTCGCAGACACCAGGCAGGAAATCCGAGGCCGAGTCCTGGGAATTCGCTCGTCTGCCCTGGGCTCCTGTCTCTGACCTTGCAAGACGCTCTGACCTTCTTCATTTCTCGGCGACGGAAAGTTGTCGTGTCGGAGCCAGAGCCGGCTGACGGGCCCAGGACACTCCTCTCCGGCCAAAGGCGGCGTGAGCTCGGCCAGCGCTCCCGCACCTCGTGTCTGCGAAGGGCTGGGCGTCCCGCAAAGACGAACAGCAGCAACTAACTCCGCCTGGATGGGCCTGGGAAGGTTTAAGCACAAGGCAGAAAGTGTATTCGTGGACGAATCAGCAGTGAGCTAAGATATGTATCTATTTCTCGAATTTTGTATTTATTACAGTTTCACGCACATATTGGCAGCTTCCTCGTGCATAACTAGCTCAGCTTGGCTTTGTGAGGGATCACACTTTACCGAGGCTGCGCAAGGGAAGTTGATAAAAAGTTCTTCTCGTGTGGTTATGGTTTTCATCACAGAAAGGCATATTTAATCAGCTTGGAGCTAAAATAGAAGTTCCCTGGGGAAAAGGATGTTCTGTCTCTTGTATCCACTACTTTACTCTGAGCTATTCAACAATGCCTGGCTTGTAATAGGGGTTCAATCAATACTCCTTGAATGAATGAATGAATGAGGGATGAATTAATGACTGATTAAGCAGGACCAAGTAAAAATCAAGAATTGAATTTTGGACGTCTAAACTTTCCCCCCAGTGTATGCCAACGGATGGGCCTTCATGCCAAATGAAATGCTTTCAAAGGTTCCTCAGCACTGAGAGTGCCCTCCTTGCCTAGCTGGCGATTACCTCTGAACTGTAACCAGCTTCTTTGCCGGCTTCCTGCTATTGCCCGCATTTGTGCCTGTCGGGCTCAGCAGTGACACGGTGTCCTGATGTAGAGGTGTTACCTGCACGCTACCTGCAGAAGGCCCGGTTTTGTCCCCACGTCCAAGTTTAACCAAGTGCTGATTCCGTGTCTTGGTTTTTCATTTCACAACAGAGAGACCAAGCTTTGGTTTTACAATCTTTCCCACTGGGTGATCTCTGCTCCAGGTGGCTGCGGGCTTCTGGGGCCGGGCGGGCTTTCTCTTCCCTCATTTCTTTCCGGCTACCGTGAGGAGCCGCCGAAAGCACTGTCAACAAAGCATGAGTGCCCGTGGTTGGCACATGCTCTCAGAATACAGAATTGGGGGGCTGATTGGGGCACTTGTAGAAGCTATGGAACTAGAACGCCGCCAGCTTTAGCTCCCGAAGAGGCGGCCAGGGCACCTGAGCACCATGGAGACAAACTAATGTCAAGAGTAAAAGCGCCTTAGTTGCGGTTTCCTAAATATGAGGCTCATGTGGGTCTTGACTCTTGGCTCTAGATTCTGAGAAACTGGAGCAGTAGCAGAGGAGGGATAGTGGTAGCTGAGGGAGCATTTGTCAGAATTTAGGAAGGGTGATCAGAAACAGCCCGCGGCTTGCAAATGGAGTTCTGATTATGTCCTGAATGACGTCTACTTCTTGAGCTTAACCTCATTGGATTGAAATGGTCAGCGGTGAAATGAGAGACAGAGAAATCCAACATAAAACATTTATTCTCTAGCCTTTTAAGTATTTTGATTCCAATGTAAATGGTGGTTGTCTACTACCACCCACAACTTTAGTAACCCTCTGGGTTCCGTAGTGATGAAAAATCATAGTAAGCTAGAGACGGACCTGAAAATAAGGTTCTATGTCAATTATACATCAATTAAAAATTGACAACAAAAATAATCACAACAATAGAAAAATATAAAAGCTCTTGTGTATGTCAGTGTGTGGGAACTCCTTGCTCTGACATGCCCTTTGTTGTACCCACTACTCGCTCTTCTCGATTCAGCTCTGACCCAAGCATGGACTTAGCACTGACCCAGCTTGGATCTCCCTCAACAGGCAGAGGCAAGAATCTTCCAGGCTATCTCTTTGCTCGCTAGCACAGAGTATCTAAAAGGCCAGAGACAGAACTCTGAGCTGGATGGACCAATGAGATGAGTGGCATGTTCCTTTCTCATGGCTTTACCAGCCAATAGAGGACACGTTTTTGAACTTGGATAGCTCTGTGCATTCTGGGCAAAAGCTGGACTCCTTCTGCATCAGGTTTGAAGCCTGAGGAAAGTGGTCCTGCGACCTTTCATGCTTGAGTGGTACAGCTGACAGTTCCCCATATTGCAATTCTTTCTCCAGGTAACCAAAATAGCAGAGAGGCATGCATTTATTTTGGTGGCTCTCAATAGGTGTTTTATGATGTTTATAATTTAGTTCTATTCCAAAACCTACATCAGGATTAATTTCACCTCTGATTCCGGAAGCCTTCACAAACTTTCAATACAACCCCTCAAATCCCCATCTAGAACCTGCTTTAATGAGATCTTAATCAGTCCGCTACCTGAAGCGTCTGACAGTGTCTTACTGACTTAGTATTGTGTGCACCTGGCTCGGTGCCAAGCACATAGTAGGTACTCAGGAAAGAGATTTCATTAGTGGATAGTGAGAACTCTTGGTTAAAATACTTCCTTTATTAAAATCAACATCACGGGTTAAACTCCAAACTCCATATGTGTGCGGTCGGGTTTTCTCAACATACCCCAAGGGTAGATCGTCTCAGTCTTATCTACTCTCTGATTCCAGACTGGAAGCCCTCACCTGGATAGTTAGATTCAAAGGGTTTGGAATGGGGGCTTACACTCAGCAGGCAAAGCAGTGTTCTCTGATGAGTAAGGAAAAGTATAGATGCGGCCTCTGTGAGCTAGAGACATTGTTCACGTAGCTGTATTCTCCCCACCTCTCACTCCACTTCCTCTTCTCTTGGTTTTCTTTCCAAATCCACTGAAAGAAGGGTCTTCTCTTGAGCATAAGTGGTGACAAAGTAAACTGAATCTCGGAAAAATGAGTATTCCTGTAGCATCATGTGTTTTTTATGTCATAATATTTCTTGTTTTTTTTTTTTAAATATTTTTATTTATTTCTAGGAGAGAGAGAGAGAGAGCGTGAGCAGGGGAGGGTCAGAGAGAGAGGGAGATACAGATTCTGAAACAGGCTCCAGGCTCTGAGCTGGCAGTCAGCACAGAGCCCGACGCGGGGCTCGAACCCACGAACTGCGAGATCATGACCTAAGCGAAAGTCGGACGCTTAACCGACTAAGCCACCCAGGCGCCCCAATATTTCTCGTTTTAATGCAGGTCCGTGAGACCAGGGATATTTCAGTCTTCCCTGACACCCAGTGCAATGTATGGTACAAATTAGTGATTACATAATAGTCATTGAAAATAAACGTTTACATTAGTTTTTTCCCCAAGAAACATTATAAGGAATTGTTTCCTTTCCGCACGTTAAAGCCAAGTCACAGGTTTTCCACGTATATTCATAACTTTCCAGGAACCAGCAATTCTAATTAATTCTAATTCAGTAATTTTGACATTGGACTCTGTGTGCACCACCGGGATGGCCGAGTGGTTAAGGCGTTGGACTTAAGATCCAATGGGCATATGCCCGCGTGGGTTCGAGCCCCACTTCCGGTATGCATCCTTTATGTGAGATTAAAATCCCCTTCTAGGGACTTGGTCCAGTACTGCAGCTGGCTCTGAGTTTCTGTTATCCAACCTGACAAACTCTAATCAGTGGATTCAGATCATCTACAGATCACATCACCACTGACATGTTGGTATTAAAGTCTCTGTCTTATTATGCTGTTTTCTATGTGTTCCTTTCCTTTGTCTTTCTTCCTGTCTTTGAAACTTTTGAGCATTTTACAGGATTTACTTTTATCTTCCTTATTGCCTGATTGTTTACCTGTGTTTTAAAACAGCCTTGACTGGTTTCCCTAGGGCTATCTGCACTCAGCTGCAATGAGGTCTACTTTTCAATGGCATTTTATGCTGCTTGTTGAGTGGCTCAGAAGCTTGTAGCAACAGACTGCTCCCTCCTCTGTTCTGTGTTTTCCTTCCCATAGCGCTTTCCCGAATACTCTGCAGCATGTCAGCACTGTTGCTTGATGCAGTCCATCAGATTTAGAGTGATTAAAATTGGGGAAAGTCTTTCTTATGTGTATCTTCACGTGGTAACCATTTCTGTGGAGAGCCATTCCTTCTTGTGTGTCTGGGCTCGTATTCCTTCTTCCCGAGTCCCTCTTTCTCACAACGTCTCCTATGGTGCAGCTCTGCTGGTAATACACCCTTCAGATTTTGTGTGTCTGGGCTGATCTTTATGTCTTCTTCATTGTTGAAAAATGTTTTTGCATGATAGAAAATTCAGGGTTAAGAGTGTTTTTGGTTCTTTTGAGTTTTTGTTTGTTTTGTCTCTAATCACTTTCAAGTGTCACTCCCTTATCTTCTGTCATACTTCCTTTTTTGTGCAAAGCCTACTGTAATTTTTACCTTTTTCAGCTACATATGATATGTATTTCATTCTTTGACTGCCTTCAGCACTCTCTCTTTTGTTTTCAGCAGTATAACTATGAGGTAAATAGAGCCCCCTCCCCCCAGTATAAAATGCTTAGGGTTCTCTCTTGGAGCTGTGGTTTGATGAATTTCATTATTTTGGGGAAGTACTCAGTCTTTATCTCTTCAAATATTTTTTCTATTCTTTTCTCTCTTTGCCTTCTGGGATTTCAACTTTAAATATATTAGACCATTTGGCATTAATCAATAACTCTTCAATGATCTTTTTTTCCCTCCAATCTTTTTTTTCCTTGGTGTTTCAGGTTGGGTAGACTCTGTTGACCTTCAATTGTCCTTAGATCTAGGGGGTCTACTGATGAGGCATTAAAGGCATTCTTTATCTCTGTTACTGTGTGTATGGTGTATGTTTTTTAAAAAATTTAGCATATCCATTTGACTTTTAGTTTCCAACAATCTACTGAAATTGCTCATCTGCTAATGTATGTGGTCCACTTTTCTAGCTAGACTTTTCTGACCCTCTTGCATGGAGGTCCCATCTTCATCCCACTGCTTTTGGGTGGGACAGTTTTCCTGTCCCACCTCCCATTATTCTACTTGGAAGCACCTGTTTTTCCTTGGATTTCATGCTATTTGGTTACTCTGAACACCTCAGCTCTTTCGTGGATTCACAGATTTCTTAAGATGATCTAGATTTTTGGTTGTTAGATTAGAAGCAACACTCTTTCCAGCTTTATTCATGTCAGGTAAAAGCTGGAATCCTCTAGGATTTTAATCTGAACATAAATGATGCCATACTATCCATTACCTATGCTATTATTTTACTGATCTTTTGTGTATCCAGCATGATCAGAAATCACAGTAAGTCAAAGATAATCTACTTATAATGATGGCATGGTAAAAAATGAGCATTTGAAGTCTCTCTATCCAAAAATCCACCGAAAAAAAAAAGAAATCAGGGGTGATTTTAAGACATAAACACACAAGGACAATAATAGGAAAATAAAGGGAGGTACCGAAATTTTGGAAACCAAATGCAGAAGGACTAGCATGATACACAAGGAAAGGTTTGTTTTAAGCCAGAATTGGGAAAAGCTCAATAAAAATATTTGTGAAAACTGACCAAATCTCTGATTAACTTAAGAGTTCCTTCTTTTTGATGAGTGAGTAATATTCCATTGTATGTTTGTATATATCACTTCTTTTTTTAAAAAAAATTATATTTATTTATTTTTGAGAGAGAGAGAGAGAGAGAGAGAGCACGAGCAAGGGAGGGGCAGAGAGAGAGAAGGAGACACAGAATCCAGAGCAGGCTCCAGGCTCTGAGCTGTCGGCACAGAGCCCAATGCGTGGCGGGCTCAAACTCACAAACCATGAGATCATGACCTGAGCTGAAGTTGGATGCCTAACCAAGTAGCCACCCAGGCGCTCCTATATACCACTTCTCTTTATCCATTCATCAGCCGATGGACATTTGGGCTCTTTCCATACTTTAGCTATTGTAAATAGTGCTGCTGTAACCTTGTAGGGCATGTACCCCTTCAAATCTGTATTTTTGTATTCTTTGTGTAAATACCTATTAGTGCAATTGATGAACTGTTGGACAAGTCTATTTTTAGTTTCTTGAGGAACCTCCCCACTGTTTTCCAGAGTGGCCACACCAGTTTGCCTTCCCACCAACAGTGCAGGAGCGTTCCCCTTTCTCTGCATCCTAGCCAACACCTGTTGTTGCCTGAGTTGTTAATTTTAGCCATTCTGACAGGTGTGAGGTGGTGTCTCACTGTGGTTTGGATTTGCATTTCCCTGATGGTGAGTGATGTTGAGCATCTTTTCATGTGTCTGTTGGCCATCTAGATGTCTTCTTTGGAAAAGTACCTATTCATGTCTTCTGCCCATTTCTTCACTGGATTATTTGGTTTTTGGGTGCTGAGTTTAATAAGTCCTTTATAGATTTTGGATACTAACCCTTTATCTTGTATGTTGTTTGCAACTATCTTCTCCCATTCCGTAGGCTGCCTTTTAGTTTTGCTTATTGTTTCTTTCACCGTGCAGAAATGTTTTACTTGATGAAGTACCAATAATTCATGTTCAGCAAATTCATCTTTTTAGACAGCATTTTGAAAAGGGATCTGGGCCTTAACACTTTTTTTGGCAGGGGAACTGACAGTTTGACAGTAGAGGGCGCTGGAGACACTGCAGGAGCAAGAGTTTTGCTCTGGGTTCCAGAAGCCCCTACAGCCCTCAGCCCGCGCCCAGTCAGGAAGATGGACTTCCGGCAAAGTGAGGAAAGGAAATGGGATATTCACTGATCCACTTACAAATAATTACTGAGCATCACATATGGCGCCTGCTCCAGGGTACAAAACGAATGAAGAGTGGCTGCGGGGATCATACAAAATAAAAAAATACAATAATTGCTGGAGCTCTTATTACAAGCTCTCAAATGATACAGTCATAAATCAAAGACAAAATATCCAATTATTGCAAAGCAGATCACTGATAATCTCATTGCATCGGGGAGAGGCATTGTCATCGGATGAGAATCCTGAATTTTTTGATTTCCAAGTAGTAGTTGGTGGTGTTTCAGTCATGTGCTGTGAGGGGCGATTTTTCATGCAACTCTTTCCACATTCCATCCAGCCTTCCCGTCTCTTCTTTGAAAACCTGTGTTGCTGCCACCTTTAGAAGCTGCATCTACACAGTAGACAGCACACTTTGCCTTCCGTGTCATATAACAAGTGAATAACTCGGACTTCATCGAGTATAAATCCTCCAAGCCGCCTTCAGCAAAACCACGTCTAACATTTTCAAAACGATGAAGCCTGGAGACAGAGCCTCACCAAACTGCGACCCACGGTCTTCTGTGTACAAAGCAGGCTCTTCAACCAGCCCTCTTGCAAAGAAAACGAAGAGCAGGTAAAGAAATATAGTATGAAAAGTTTTCACCTTCACACACTAGGAATTGCTTTTGGAGAAGAACACATGCATTTTTAAAATCTTTATTTATTTTTGAGAGAGAGAGCAAGGGGAGGAGGAACAGAGAGAAAGGGAAACACAAAATCCAAAGCAGACTCCAGGCAGGGTTCGAACACATGAGCCGTGAGCCGTGAGCCGTGAGCCGTGAGCCCATGACATGAGCTGAGATCGGAAGCTTAACTGACTGAGCCACCCAGGTGCCCCCATACATTTTTTTTGAAGTAAAAACCAATTTCTGTGGAATGTGACACCCCCACAACCCTGGCAAACTGATTGCACTTTACTGATATTACCACACCAATAACCACAAGAAGATGTGAGAGTTAACAAATACCATACAATAAGTAATTTTAATTTTCCAAGTAGCCGTATTTAAAAAGTATTAACAAACAAGTGTGATTGATTGTAACGTTGTTATCCCAAACATTATTCCATTAATAAGAAATTGCACATTCTTCCTTTTTTGAATTAAGTTTTAGAAACATGTGCTAATGGCTATGGTTTTGGACAGTGCAGCTCTAGAACCTTCTGAGGAAAAACAAAACACTTTTCTCTTCACAAAATAATCTCTTTTGATGCTTTAATGGCAAAGAGGAGTTCCCAATCTGCAGACGGACGGGAAGGGAAGGGAAGGGAAGTGAAGGGTTGGGATGCAAAGGGAAGGGAAGGGAAGGGGAGCGGAGGGGAGGGGGGAAGGGGAGGGTAGGGGAGGGAAGGGAAGGGAAGCCTTTAAGCCCAACAGTGTGATTATTCTATCAAAGGTCTTTTTGTTTGCTTGAAGGGGAGGTGGAAATGGACTTCTTTCTAAAACAAGCCGCCACCATCAAAATGAAATAAAGTATTTGACGATATGTACACGTTTATAACAAAATCTTGAGGCAAACGAAAATCTTGAGGGTAGAAACACAATCGGTTCCCTTAAAGTGATCAGCGTGGCTACAGCACCGCGGGATGGCGCTGAGGCGGGGGTTTCCGTCCCCGCGGGGACACTGTGTCTGTACCCCCCCACCCCCCAGCCTGCGGTGCGCGCGCAGCGGGTAACGAGCAGGTGCGGCTACAGGTGCGGCCTGCGGGACGGTCGCGTGCGCCCCTCGCTGACCGCTCCAGGGCGCCCCCCGGGAACCCGCGTGGGATCCGGTAGAGAGACCCAGAAAGCCGGGCTTTTACCCCCTCCGGGGGTTTACCGCGCGCTAAACTTTGAGAAGCTCCAACCCCTGGGACCACCCTTCCCTCCCTCCCGCCTTTTGATGCGCTTCCAGCCCGACAGCCCGGGTCTCACGCGACGTCTGGACGCAGGACTGGGTCATTTTCCGCGCCTGCACCGCCTCCTGCGCACGCCGGGCCGCCGCGTTTTGGGGACATAAAACCGTGCATATCCTCAGGCCAAGGTGTCCGTTGCTCGTCTCACCTTCGCGCCGCGGCTTCGGCGCCTTCACCTGCCCGGGTGCCCGGGTCGCGGCGCGGGGGCACCTGTTCCGGAGGCCCGCCCCCTCGTCTCCCGAACCCCCTCCCCTCTCTCTCGTCCGCCTCCCCTTCCGTCTGGGACCTGTCGCACCTGCAAACAGCGCCTCAGTGTCCGCCTCCTGCGGTCAGGTGGCCGCGATGTGGGTGACCGCGCGGGGCGCGGCGGGGACAAGGAGACCCAGTCCTTTCGTGCGTGTTTGGGGCGGGGGGGGGTGGACCTTTGCGGGAGCCTCTGGCTTCGTTCGTCCGCAGCCGCGTCTTGGCTCCACATTTCTCCAGGGGATGTCCCTTCTCTTTCTTCCGGGACAGGGACCGACGCTCAGGGACAGAAAGTGTGCAGGAGGGAGAGCCCTTGCCCAAATGGGGGACAACCTAGTGAAGAAAACACTGGCCAGTTTTTATTGTTTATTTTTGACACTTTGGTTTTTAAAAAGGCCGGTTTAATTCACATACCATAAAATTCACATGAAAGCGCACGGTTCGGTGGGTTTTAGTATATCCAGCCTTGTGCAACTATCACCACTATCTAATTGCAAAACGTATTCATCAGCCCCCAAAACAGCCTGTCCCTTTCCACCTTCCCCGGCTCCCCCCGCAGCTACTAGCTCTGTGAATGCACCTGTTCTGGACATTTCACAGAAATGGAATCATACAGTAGGGCCTTTTGTGTCTGGCTCTTGTTTGTTTTCTTTCCTGCACTTAGCATGATGTCTTCAAGGTTCATCCAGGGGGTGGCATGTATCAGAGCCTCATTCCTTTTTATGGTCGAATGATATTCCTTATTTGACCTTTAAGCTGTCTTTCCAAAGATCCTTCAGTCAATTATCTCCAGATCAGCAAAAGGAAGCAGATGAAAAGGGAAGCTGAGCCGAGAGAGGCAATCCGAGCCTCCGCTGGGACTTCCTGGAGAGCCCGGGGCCTGAAGACCCAGATCCGGTGAATTACCTTCCAAAGGACTAAAACTCTGTTTCTCTTACCAACCACCTAAAGGATTTGCACAGAAAGACATTCTTACAAAGAAAGGAAAAGAGATGCGAGCCAGCCAGGAGTCGAACCTAGAATCTTCTGATCCGTAGTCAGACGCGTTATCCATTGCGCCACTGGCCCCCTCTGCACGGTGGTGTTGATGGTCCATTACTCATCAGAAGCGTGGAGCACGCGGTCGCTTTGTGAAGCGGGCAGAAGCGGGTGGAACAGGAAAGACCTGTGGACCAGGTAAAGCTCCCTGCTGGGGCCTGTGGCTCGCATGCATACGTTCCATCTCCTCAAAATAGTTCCATGGATGAAGGGATTTTCTGCCTTGAAGCATCGTGTTCTGACAGAATGACTGACGTTTGCGTGTTTTCCTTTTATGGGCACGCCTGTTTCTCCCTGTGCGTGTTTATTAGCTTATGCAGCTGGTTCATGGGTCCATCAGCATCTCATTTTCCTTACGTGCTTAATACTGACGCTATGTGTGGATCAGAGATTAGCGGTCCATATGATTTAAAATTTTGATATAATGAAAACCAAAGTGGAGTAAAATACCTTAGTTGAGTTACTAATCATAGGTTTTCCACCTCACTCTCCGAAGAGCCCTAATTCAAGATGGAGGAGATAACTTCAGACTCTGTGCTGCAGAACAGACATTCAGAAACACCCACCCTCCGGAATGGGGCCAAAGAGGGGCAAGAATGCAATAAAGGTAAACATTTTAAGAACCAGATTCACACACGCACTTAGAAGTTTGAATTTATATTATAAAGTTAAAGAATACCAGTCATCATTACATAAAGCAGCTTGGTGTATTAAAGGGCTCGATACAGGTGAAATAGACATGTGGAAATACAAAGGCATTTATAAGTGAGGGTCATCCTCTCCTCTGAGAGCCAGAAGCAGGGCTCTGGGGTCCTTTACCCAGACTCCTGGCCCACCAGATTTCCTGCCTTGGCCAAACTGTTAGCCTTTGCTTCAGTTTCCTCATTTCTATAGCATGTTTTAGAGAGCGCTTGGCGCGCGCGCACGCGCGCGCGCACACACACACACACACACACACACACACACACGGATATTTACGATCTAGGTCTTTATGTTTCCCACCAGCCTGCTTTAGGTCCCTCCTCTGCCCTCCCCTGTGTTCCCCTCCCCTGTCTTCCTTTCCCCTCCCCTTCCTTTTTTTTTTTTTTAAATACCAGAGAACTGTGTAAGGAAGCTTACCCACATCTCTATTATCAGCACAGGGACTTTTATTGAAGAGTTTTAAGAACAAAATTTCCTGTTTCTCTTGGCCCCTGGGGCCTGCCTTCGGATTTCCCAATCTCACTGCAAAGCAGGCCACTGTTCCGAGCGCTAAATCTCAGGCTTCGCACCCTGGGGCCCAAGGAAGCAGCGACCGGCGCGCAGGGGGAGATTCGCGGATCCCCGCTGGGACAAGGACATAAGTGCCCCAAGCCCCAGAGGGAATGTTTAAGCAAGGGGGGGGTGGCAAACACAGCTTTCTGGATAGGAAGCTGCCCTCCTACTTTTCAGTTCGGGGAATAAGATGAAAAGCTGAGAAGACAGTGCTTTTTGAGAATTTCATACCGTAACTTAGATAGAAAAAGCACCAGGGAGCGCTGTGAGCAGGATTTGAACCTGCGCGGGAGACCCCATTGGATTTCGAGTCCAACGCCTTAACCACTCGGCCATCACAGCCTGGCCTGGGTTCCCCATTTGGCCAATAAAATACACATTCGTGCAGGGCTCTGTTGCAGTCTGGCTGCTTCTGTGAGTTTGGCAGAATTCACTTTGGACACAGCAGGAAACCACGCCCACGCCCCTTCATCAGGGGTCTCCACTCAGCATCCCCCTCCAACCTCCTCCCGGCAGGCCCCAAGCTGCAAAATCTCCCCTCTCAGACAGAAGGCAGTGTTCCAGCGTCATAAGAATCCTTGATTTCCAGTTTTTCTAGAGTGTCCATGGATTGCCTGCTTTTACTTCATCGTTGGTAGAAAAGGTGGTGAGGAGTTGTACTCGGCTGCCCCGCATCCTGCGTCACTGTGCTCACCACAGAATATAGTGTCGCGGGGGGACAATTGGACAGGATCTTACCAATAGTTCAGATGCCTCTACCCTTGGATCCAGCATCTCCACAAATAGGCAGGGTGGGCCTGCGCCCAGGAGATCACGGTGGGCTTCGCTTTATCCTCTGTGGCAGACAACAAGACTGGGAGAGACCTAATTATTCAGAATTATTTAATTACTGATAACTTATGGCGGGCCTCCCCAGTGGCCTGCTAGGCGTCTTTAAAGGAAAACGAGAAAGGTCATTATGTGCAAACACATATTGTAAAATAAAAGCAACGGTCAGAGTAATCTGCATAGAATGTTACCATCGGAAACATACTTGTGTTGGGTCATCTGTACATTTTACCAAGAACAATCCCCAAAGATGATCAGTGGACTCGGGAGGACAGGAGGCGTCAGGGGCTGGAGACACAGTGGGCGGCAGGAGGGAGAAAGTGCGTGCAGCCCATTTCGGACTTCGGATGCATCTACTAATGAATGAATGAATGAAAAGGTCAAGAAAACTCTACGAACGAGCAGGTGGATGACAGAATTGTTTCTCCCAGTGGTCTCCTCTGGAATGGTGAGTACAGCTTGCTTCTGGAACTCAGCAGTGTGGAGGGCTCTGAGGCCCCCTCTACACCCCCCCACCCCGGGATCGAGTCGCCATTTGGAGTCAGTTGAAGAGGCTGAAGCCACAAGAAGAGGGCTCCGGAGTGGCGTCCTAGCCCGACCCTGGGGGCGCAGGGGACAGGGACCTGGAATACACAGCCTGGGTTCGAAGCCCGGAGAGATCTTGATTTGCTCTAGGGTGTTCTGGGAGACGTGAGGGGAGTCCTCTCTCCACAGTGCACCCTGGGACCATTTTGTCCCAATTCACAGAGTTCAAGCAGCTTAAACGTCCTCCTTTGGGCCTAGATGTACAATTTCAAGAATGTGTGTGTGTGTGTGTGTGTGTGTGTGTGTGTGTGTGTGTGTGTGGTGTTGTTGTTGCAGGGAAAGGAACATTTTCTGAGTGTCGTTCTCCGTATAGCATAGTTTCCAGGAGTTGTTTTCACTGGGAAATCCTCTCATGGCAAAGAGCTCGGTGTGGACTTCGTCTGCTACAATCTCCAGTCCCTGGCCCCAGCTTCGCCACTTAACCAGTTCACAGCTCTGCAACAGACCCAGGGCCAACCCAAGGCTGGCCGCTGCGGGGCAGTTTCATTAGTTTAACTCTTGGGCCTCTGACAGGACCCCCTGGGACGAACACTGTGGGGTCCAGCCACAAATTTGAGTGTCTTTTGAAACGTCTGTGGTTCTTTCTCAGCTAGATCTTGGATTTCCCCTCGAGACCTACTCTGCCAAGGAATTCAGGAGTCCCTACTGAAAACCCAGGCAGGAGGCTGTTTGTTTAAAAGGATGCCTTCCACACGCTGTGTGCTCACCCCTTCCGTCCTGTCTCCTCCCGGGGGGTTAACTCCCTGGAGGTTCTTTTCCGTTTCTCAGTTCTTCAAACAGTTTTCCAGACTCTTGGTCCCACTGAACCTGCCATGTTCTTGTGCACCTCGGTGCCGCCCACCCCCAGGAGGTGTCCGTTCTCTCGCCTCCAGGACTGACTCCTGACCCAGAGCCCTGAGAAGCAGAGTGAGTGTAGATGCTGCCGAATGAGAAACAGTTGGAAGGGAATGTACTGGAAAATTATTATAATTTTCGGGGCGCCTGGGTGGCTTAGTCGGTTAGGCGTCCGACTTTCGCTTAGGTCATGATCTCGCGGTTCGTGGGTTCGAGCCCCGCGTCGGGCTCTGTGCTGACTGCCAGCTCAGAGCCTGGAGCCTGTTTCAGAATCTGTGACTCCCTCTCTCTCTGACCCTCCCCTGCTCACGCTGTCTCTCTCTCTCTCTCTCTCTCTCTCCTAGAAATAAATTAAAAAAAAGAAAATTATTATAATTCTCTTTAGAGCATCTTTGATTTTAAAATTTGCCGCAGAGTCTTGCTCAGTTTCAGGGGGAAAGGGGAGGAGGAAAGAACTCTTAGAAACGGCTCCTTTGATGCCTCTGAAGGTCCGCAGCTCACAGCCGAGGCCGCCCGCGCGTGGTAGGTCCCAACGTGTGCGGGCAAGTCAGAGGACTTCCTCTCAAGGTGTTTTAGTAACTCATTTCAGCATTTTTTTAGTGTCCCGGTTCAGTATCACTTCTTTGAACCATGTAGGAGGAAAGATGTTTTTCACAAGAGAAAGGAAGGGAAACTGAGGTGGCCAGGAGTGGACGGCGACCCTAGTCTGACCTGTGACCCCTCGCGTCACTGGCCACCGTGCACAGAAGGCTCACGTCAAGTTGCTTTGCACCAAACCTACTCGAAAAGGTGAGTTGGGGACGGCTGTAGACTGCGTGTGCTCCTCCGGAACTGGCGCCTTGACACCCAGTCCCCAATGGGGTGATGGCCTTGGGAAGTGACGGGGTCACCAGGGTGGAGTCCTCAAGAATGGGGTCAGGTGCTTATAAAAAAGTCCCTGGGGAGTTTGCTCACCCATTCCTTCTCGTGTAGACTCAGAGAAGCCTGCCCTCTATGAGCCAGAAAGCCAGGAAGAAAAGTCTTACCGGATTCAGAATCTGCTCGCGCCTTGAGCTGGGACCTCCCAGCCTCCAGGACTTCGAGAGCTAAATGCTCGTTGTTTAAGCCACCCCGTCTCCGGTACGTGTGTTATAGCAGCCTGAGCAGACTACGACTGGGTTGGCGACACAAATGAGGCCTGTGAGACCGAGCCACTTCCAGAAAGGCCGCCCCGTTCGCCTGGTGATCAGTTTGCACAATAGACATTTGCCTGAAATGTTCAAGTTTGAAACAGGAATCAGCTTTCAACTTTAGAGCACAGTAATGTGGGTGGAGGTCTCCGTGCCCACCTTGTGACATGGGACTGGAGTGCTGATACGGCCCTGGGGGGAGAGAAGAAGCGCTGGCTGCGCTGGCGGAAAGTCCACTGCTTCCGCGGGGCGCGGTGATCAGGGCCGGAGAACCCAGCACTGAGCCTGGCAATAGCTGCACACCAGGGCCCTGTGTTAATTTTCTCCATGGGTGAAATGACATCCGGAACGGCAGATGCAATTGCAATAATCCCTCAGCTACAGCTACATCTATTTACAGTAGCTCATGGTCATTCTCCATGGGCGACCTCTCTGCTGCGATTACATAGGCAGGTGAAGTAGAGATTCCCTCCGAATCTCTTGCTAGTCCCCAATGTTGGCACTGATCTCTGTGATCCCTCCCAGAACACTGGTATTGCTTTTGGTTTACTATTGTCATCGTTAGAAGACTTTCTAGTGGCTTCCACTTGGCCTTTTCTGCCATCACAGCGCTCACTCCATGAGCCATAGAAATAATATTAAAGTTACCATCTAGTCTGGAATTAGGGAAATGGGCTCAGGGCAGGTTTAGGGACCCACCATGTTCACAGTGAAATAGATGAGAAGCAAAACTTCATTGAGTCCCTACCTTGCTCGGTGGATAGCCGTGACGTTTTGTGTCTCCAGGGGTAAATGCCAGCTCCGAGCCATCTTATAGCAATCCCCAAAATCCCATTTCCTTTTCCCTAGCACACGGTCACTTTGGTAAATGGACACCGGTCCTTTTAGGAAAGGCTTGGAGGAGGAAAAGCAGTATAAATTTTTGTCAATGTGTCAGTGGTCTTTTCTCAAGGGAAACTGGACATCTCTGCGTTCAAAACTGGCTCTCGTCTGGGAGCTCGTACAAAGCAAGTCCAAGGTCCGTGTGCCTCTGGGACCGCTTTCCGGAGGGGCCCCTAGGCTTGCAGATGGCTGCCTCGTCTCTGGTCCTCCCGGGGCTCCCTCTGTGCGCACGTGGAGAGAGATTTCCGGTGTGTCTTTGCCTTCATACCAGGACACCAGTGCAATCGGATGAGGCCCCCACCCTTTGACCTCATTTAACTTTATTTACCCCCTTAGAGTTCTTATTTCCAAATACAGTCACCTTAGGGGTCGGGGCTAGAACATACGGGTTTTGAGGAGACATAACTGAGTTCATGACACTCATTCAGTCTTTGGCAACTTATGGCCAACATTTGGCCCCTGTCATCCTGGGCTCCAGTCATCTCCACGACATTTGGGGACTCCAGTTCAGGATCAGCAAGTCCCCCTGTCATTTCTGGCCTATGAGGAAAAGTCACCACGGAACTACTCAAGGGTGCTGAGGCTCTGCTCACGAGCTCATTTCTCACAGCCTTGGTGAAAGTTAGTTCCCCCGGCGAAGCCCACGATCAATTCCTTCTGGAATTTCAATTTTCTTGAGCCTCTGGGTTGCTCTCCACACACTAGGGGAATACTGATGATTCAGTTTCATTTTGTCGGTTCACCCTAACTTTGGGTCCCTATATTAATCATGTATTGATTATACCTTTTTAATTAATGTAGAGCTGTTCCCAGGCCCTTGAGTTAAAACACTGAGTTGGATACATGTGTCAAGTACGAGCTCGGTCCCTTGCAACTTGATACTCCTGTCGCCTTGAGCCTATCCACGTAAGATCCGTTCCCATCCAAACTTGCCAGCTTCCTGTCGATACAAACTGGGAAACTCATGCAGTTATTTTGATGTGTATCACACCTCCCCATGGGTCACGCTTTGTACTTGACCCTCTGGAGTCTCAAAAAAGGAGAGAGGTGGTAGTGATAGATCTTAGAGAGTATCAGCAAGGCACGTAGCTCCGAGAGGCCAGAGGCGGTTACAGGCACCTCAGGCAACAGGACACTGACCTTCGAGTGCCTCGTCTACCGTCTACCGGTTAGCACCTGAGGGGGGGGGGGTAATCTGGAAATGGGGAACAACTTCCCCAAATACAGTTGAGGGATCTGATGCTTCTCCCTTCAAAGCTTACTTCATTCCAGAAAATTTTTTTTCTTCAATATTTCTAACTTGTAGCAAAATCTTTGACTGAAACACAGATCCACATATCACTAAATTATGATGCAGTTTACTCCTTCCCTTTTTCACTACCCTGTCCTCACCCATTCCCCAAGATAAGAATTTACCTTTTACCTGAGTCAGTCCATTTGTATTTGATTGAGTCTGTTCAGTCTTTAACAATGAATTTAGAAAGATTTGTTCTCAGGCTGAGAACACGGCCTCGCCAAGAGGAACTGTGGCGTTACATTTTGTTGCCAAATATTGCCAGTTTGGTTGGCATACTGTCGTGTATTTGCTCTGCATTCTGCGCCCAAAAAATTTCATCTCCTCCTTTATGGGTCCCAGAGCCTGGGGGTGAGAGGGAGTCGCCGGGACTAAGTGTACTCACCTTACCTGCAACGGGAGCGGCCAGGGCAGAGAGTGTGCCAGGCTTCTGACCGCCTCCTGCGCTCAGGCTGCTCAACCCTGGTTCCCAAAGAGTCATTTTCTGGCACCAAGAGAGGAGTCCCCACGGCAGGGACAGAGAAAGAGGTGTAGACAGTATGGGGAGGTCTTGAAATCAGATTCTCCAGGTATAACCATTTCCTAGCAGGTGCAAGTCAGAGCATATGCTGTACACCTTAAATTCACACAGCGAGGTATGTCCCCTGTATGTCAAGACTAGCAACAGTTTTTTTTTTTTAATGAAAACATATTATTAATTCAACACTCGCCCCCACCCCCCAATTCTCCAGGGTGATGCAAGAACCGGGGCCGTGGGTGAGGCTCTCGCTTGGTTATGATGATTCTTTGTTCATAAAAAGAAGGAAAAGAGAGAAATGCACCGTAACAAGGCAGAGTCCCCGGACCCGCCGACGCAAAAGTCTTCGTCACGTGTAGCCAGAGACCCATACACGTGTGGACTCGCACGGCCGTTTCCGTAGTGTAGTGGTTATCACGTTCGCCTCACACGCGAAAGGTCCCCGGTTCGAAACCGGGCGGAAACATCTATTTTTCCCCGAAATGCACTTGAGTTGATTTCAGGGATTCCGACTTCTTTACATTCACAGACCACAAGCAAAGTCAAAGGGTCGCCCTTCCTCTCTGTTGGAAATCGGTTTCCCCGGAGACCTGCGCTGCCGCCGCCCGCCCCCCTCTGCGGCCCCGGAAAGCGGGCGGGGCGGGGCCGAGTCTGGGTGTCCCCGAAGGACGCGGCTTCGCCCTGAAACCCGGGGGTTACGGCTACGAGGCGCCAGGCAGGGACGCCAGCCGCCAGCGCCGCTCTGTTCGCGGGCGGGCAGGTGTCGCCAGCGTCCGCGCGACCCCCGAGCCGCTGCGGCAGGTGCTGCGCCAAGGTCGCGCGCGCCCCCGCCGCGCGCGCCCGCGATGCACCTGCTGGGGCCGCTCGCGCCTCCGTCCGCTCGGCCCTCGGCGCGGGTGCCCGAACGGGGCTCTGGAAACAGACCCGGGGTTTGGGGGTGGGGTGGGGGGGGTCTTTCCCCGGGGCGCCCCGGACTCCGCCCTCAGAGTATTCGTCCCTTCCCTTCTCAGCACTGCGGGGCTGAGGTTGCTGCGCGGCCAGCATTAGAACCGTGACCGGGACAAAACGGACCAACATAAACCTGACACAGAAAATTAGTACTTATATGTATGATTACGTTACCATAAAGATATGAAAAAGAAATATGTTTATCTGAAATTATATTATCCCATTTGCCGTTCTGCTACATGAATACTGTTATTTAATCAAAACAATAGGGCTACTTAGAAGTGGCAATTAGTATTTAACAGCAGGACTAAACAAACAATACATGTGAGAAAATACAACAATAATTTTATAATGTTTCTGTCCTCTGATAGAGAAACGTAAACTTCCTATTGGATATTTAAGTTGCATAGACAATGTTATTGTGTATGCATAAGATGCATAGGTGTAATATTTTTAAAAAGGATAGTTACAATAGGACAAATTATACAGGTGATCTATATTTAATAATAAGTAACAACATGGGCGGGTTTTTTTTTTTTTTTCTGTTCCACATTCTGTAGGTTATTTTTACTTTGTTTCCTTTCCCAATGATGCTTCCCTGAACTGCCTGCAGCCTTTGGAACATTCTTCTTTTCTTTAATGTAGTGGTAAAACCAGGACCAGCTAAAGAAAAACCAGTTATTAATATGCAGTTCTGTTCTTCTCAAGCCCACATTACACCATTCTTCATGTCAGTTTAGGGGGATGACATCCAACTAAGTATCTTCTCAATAAAACCGAGCCTAGAATCCTCGGGATTTTACTTAATGCCAATCCCAGGTTCCTGGACAGGTGGGGGTTCCTCTTCAGCTCTCCACAAGTGTCCACCCACTTTACAGCTTGTTTGGGTTGACCTGCTGTTTCTCACCAGGTTTTTCACATCTATCATATCATGTCACATCATATCATCTCCATGTCAAAAATTTCCATAGTCAAAAAATCACATTGTGTCTGCAAATTCTGAGAAACTGAAAAGTGAGCAAACCCCTGAAGGATGAAGGCTTCACTATCACAGATGGATAAACCGCACCCCTGTTAACGTGAGACGTGTGTATGGGATGCAACAACATTTACCAGGTTTTCACTTTCTTTTTCATCGTCTTTTCATTTTCTCTGGTAAGAAATTTGTTAGCTGAATTTGCCAAAATTTACATTTGTGTCCTCAGCTGAATATGCAGATCGATGAACGAAGCCTAACTTTTATCTGGGCAACAGATCATGAGGTTACAAGTGATATGGGCCATTCTGAATGGTCAGTCCAACAGCACGGGGAAGAGGAACTGTTTTCATACACAAAAAAATTACTGAGCGCGGGAGGGAAAAATCATATTTCATTCAAGGAGAAACACGTTAGCAAAGATCTATATCTCTGAGTGTCTTGGCTTTGTTTACTGATCGTTTGGGAGGATAAAAATATTGACTGGTTGTGATCATTAATTTTTATGTTTCAAGTTGAATGGGCCATTCATTCAAGTCAACTTGAATGCCCACAAATTGGTCAAGCATTATTCTGGTCGTTTCAGTGAGGATGCTTTTGGATGGGGTTTACATTTAAACGGTGGGCTTTGAATAAGGCAGATTGTCCTCCATAATGCAAGTGAGTTTCATACAATAAAGTGAAGTCTTAAATAGAAACAAGGGCTGATCTTCAGTGGATGAGAGGGAATTTTGACGCCACGCTGCCTTCGGATTTCATCTGCAACATCAGAACTTCCGGATTTGCCAGCAGAGATGCCTTGGGGCTCAAAGTGCAGCCCATCCTGGGTCTCTCGGCCAGCCGGCCGTCAGCTCCCCCATCAGGTTTTGGACTTGCTGAGCTGCCACAAGCACGTGAGCTGGTTCCTTACGGTGAATCTCTTTCTACATATGTAAACATCCCCCCTGGTACTGTTTCTCTGGAGAAACCTGACCAGCCTACCAGTTTGTATTTTAAAGTATTTAACTCTTCAGGAGTCCATAATGGCACCTGCTGCAGCCCCACAGCAGCTCCGATCCAAGTGGTCATTGGCGAGGTGGTCGTGGTCCCCGTGTCCATGCAAATAAGGGGCGTCCTCAGCAGCACAGGGCAGTTAACAGTCCAAGGTGCCAGTCGAGGAGCAGCAACAAGGAGCAAGGAGTCTCTGGTGGTGGGGGTGGGGTGGGGGGAGTCTCTGGTGGTGGTGGGGGTGGGGAATCTCTGACGGTGGGGGGGATGGGGGAGTCTCTGGTGGTGGGGGTGATGGGGAGTCTCTGGTGGTGGGGGGGTGGGGAGTCTCTGGTGGTGGGGGGGTGGGGGGAGTCTCTGGTGGTGGGGAGGATGGGGGGAGTCTCTGGTGGTGGGGAGGATGGGGGGAGTCTCTGGTGGTGGGGGGAGCACAGCAACCTCTGTCCCCTCATTGGGCATTTGGAAGTGGTTACCCTGCCCTGGGGTCTTCGTGGAAGGCAGCTTGGGAAGGGGTCTGTGGAATATTCATATTCTCAAAGGTACAGAAGACCTAGAAAATCTAAGGTGCACAGACAGAGAGGAGAAGACTAAGGGATTATTGCAGTTAACAATAATAATGTTAATCTCTGCTGCACAAGCCTCATGTTTGCTTTCACAGGATATAGGCAAACAAAGTAAGTCAGTGTAGGATAATAGAAGCATAGTACGTGTATAGTAAGAATAAATAGCAATGTGCTATGTTATGAATTGTATATAAAGTATGTATTTTATTGTAGTCTATTAATATAAATAATAATATAAAAGTTTATCAGAGTTTCTGGGAAGATGCACTTATCTGTGTCCTGTAGTTGCTGAGTGTAACTAACCCTTCGGGACATTATGTGTAAAATGAACACAAGAATCTGAAAGGTGGAGAAAGGAAGGACACTAGCTAGGCACCCTGAGGCCAGAGGAATGACATGATGGCAGATTCCCTATTTCTGCCTCATGCGTCCTAGACTTGGAGCTAAATAAGCTGGAAGCCTGAAATGCCAGTGGGCACATACAGAAAATTCTAAGAAAATCTGCTCTCTCTAGCCAAAATGCCACCAAAGGGACAGCCTCGCAAGACATAACACTTGTGGGCAATAACTGCTGACCTCTAGCCACACACCACATACAACTGTAGCCTTACCACTGTCTGGGGCAGCAAAGGCGAAGCAGGAAGCCAGGACATGTGCCCCCACCCAGCAGTGTCCCTCCCTCTTCCTGCCTGCTGGGGTGGCGTTAGAGGAGCCTTGTGAAGAACAGGACTTTCGTCATTGCCCAGTGGTAACTGGGTCCTGCCTCATCCATCTCTGGGCCAGTGGAAACCACGTGGCAGCCAAATTCTCTCCCCCTGCCAGCAGAAATAAGATCCCCGCCCCCCACAGCGTGGTGTCAGTGGAGGCTGAGTAGGGGGTCCTGGACTTCTGGAGTGCCCGCCTGGCAGTAATGAACACAGGTTCGCCCCAACTTCCCATGGGATAGTGAAAACCAACTAAAACAGAGAGTTTAAATAAGAGCCAGAGTCCCATAACACAAAGCACATAATGTCCAGATATCAGTTGAAAAATCACTTGTCAAACCAAAAACTGGAAAAATCTCAAACTGTACAAAAGACAATCAACAGAGTGAGCCCAATAACAGGATGTAAGGGATATGAGGATTATGGGACAGAGATTTTAAAGCAGCCACCCGAAAAATGCTTCAATGAACAATTATGAACACGCTTGAAAGAAATGAAAAATAGAAAGCTTCAGCCAAAAATTAGAAAGCATCAGGGAAAAAAATGAAAGGAATACAAAATGATAATTTTAGAATTGAAAACTTCAATAATCAAAATAAAGATCTCAGAGCTTGGGCTCAATGGCAGAATGCAAAGGACAGAGGAAAGAATGAGTGAACTGGAAGACAGAACAACAGGAATGGCCCTTACAGCAGCCCCAGTGAACCGATACACCATAATTGCAGGCGGGACTGTAATTCAGCCACTCTGGAAATACATTGGCAACTATTTAGAAACTAATAAAATCACCATGTGACCAACAATTGCTTTCCTTGGCGTTCATGCTAGAGAAATGAAGACTTATGTCCACACAATTAACTGTGTAGGGGAGAAAAAGTAATTTTCCCTCTACCATTCTAGATTCTTGGCTGAGACCTCCCTGCAATAAAGGACAAACTGTCAAGAGAAAAAGGAGTAGAAGTTTAATAATACGTATGTCTTCTGTATACGTGGTGGTGACATGGTTTTCCTGGATGTCTCCATTGTATACAAGAGGTATATATGTTATTAAACTTCTGTTTCTTTTACTTTTGTTAATCTGTCTTTTCTAAGGGGTGGTGGAAGGGCCTCAGCCAAGAACTGAAAAGGGTAGAGGGAAAATTATTTTTTCTCTCTTTCAGTCATGTGTGAATGTTTACACCGACTTTATTCAGAATAGCCAAAACCCAGAAAAAATCCAGATGTCCTTCAAGGAGTGAATGATTAAATATCGATACCATGGAATATGACTCAGCAATAAAAAGGAACCAACTACTGATACCTGTAAGAATCTGGATAAGTCTGCAGAGAATTTTGGAGTGAAAAAAAAAATTCCCAAAGGCTACATACTATATGGCTTCATTTATAGAATATTCTTGAAATGGTAAAACTACAGAAATGGGGAATAGATTAGTGGTTGCCTGTGGTTAAGGAGGGGCTGCAGGCAGGCAGGAAGTAAATATAGTTATAAAAGGGCAATTTGAGGAATCCTTGGGACGTTGGAAATGTTGTGGATCTTGACTGTTTGAATGTCAATATGCTGGTTGTAATACTGTTTTGCAAGATGTTACTGTTGGGGAAAACTATAAAGGGCACATGGGAACACTATTATTTCTTACAACTGTATATGAATCCACATTGATCTCAAAATTTAAAAACTTAATTAAAAAGCTTAAGATTTAACACTTTCAGATCTCAAAACATGTTTTATATTGTTTCATTTGCTCTTAGTCTTTTATTAAGTGTTTTCTCTTCTCATCTGCTTGGTGTTGCCAAGTGATCTCTTTCCTTCAAGACGTCATCTGGTTACTTCCTGGGTGAAACTTTCCCAATAACCAGAATCTAATG